TCAGATACAGAAGTTGCACCCAGATAGGTGCTTGCAGGGTCTGGAAAACCTAAGTTTGACCCAGGTGATGTCTGTACAACAGCAAAAGTGATTTTTCTGTGTTTTGTTTTTGTTGCCCCTGCCCAAAACAATAGGTGGAATTCTTTGAACCCTTTTGGGATAGTGGAGAACCACGAATTGGAGAAAAAGGAGCAAGAGGCTGGAAAGCATGGATGCACCAACAGGAGAAGGGTGGCTGGGTTGCTCTAAAGTCTGGTACGTCTGTCAGTATGTGTAGTTGTATGCCCACATGTTCTAAGCATTTTGATTAGAATGATATAAACTGTTTCTTTTCATGTTTTTGCACATAAGTTTCAAAAACTGTTTACCAAGATTAAGATAATGTATATCACACTTCCCAGGGAATAGCATGTGTTGAATGGTCTAGGTGTGATATTGTTTGTGGAATATTGTTGTCCTTTCTGGGATGAGCATTGAGGGAGAGGATGGCATGTCCTCCACTCTGTGCTGAAAAGGCTAAAGGTGTGAGTACTTGGTGAACACTCAAGCCCATCTGAAGTGAAAGAAAGCTGCTTCCCTTAAGACCCTTTCATCATATTGGTAGATGAGATGGGATTATATTATTAGATGATAGTTGCCTCAAGGATACCTAGCTTAATGATTCTGTTCATAGAGTCGGATTCCAGTTCCTTAAGCACAGATGCAGTAGAAATAGGAGGAAAACCTTTCCTTTTCTCTTTGTGATGCAGAAAATGAAGAAATTGCATCTTCACTTGGCTGCAGTGCTTCTATAGGTGAGCAGGGATGCAGAAAATGCCTCTCTGCCTGACTTGACTATCACACTGTCTTCTGGTCTGCAGCTCTTCCCTTCATGTCAGGAGTATTTCTCAATCAGATAAATCTTGAAGGGAAGCAGAGAGCTGGAATGTATCTGACCAAAGATGAGCTGCCTCAGCTTTTGCTGTTCCTGCTGCTGTAACCACTCTAATGAAGCAAGTTTGGCTCTGTTTTAATAAACAAAGGAACAGAAAAATGATCATGTGTTTCCCTTGTCCCTGGATTAAGATGGAATCTCCTTGCCCCTTAATTGAGGTCAGCAGTTCCATTGCTGATTGCTGTAGACATTTTGTTCACAAATTGAGAAGACTCAGTATAGAGGAAAGAACTACTGCCAGTCTTGGGCAGATCCAGTGCTTTTTTCCTATATGTCTCAACCCCAGAAGTTCAGGTGCAATCTACAGTCAAGTGTGATCACTAAAACTCTCAGGTTTTTTCAAACTTTGGTTAAATCATGGAAATGCTGTCATTTTACATAAAGCTACTGACTAAAGAAGTGGCTAAAGATCACAAAAATTATATGGAGAGTAAAAATCTTGCAACCACCTGTTTGTTTTACCTGAAATGTAAGAACTGGGAGTGGGAGTGTTTCACCTACCTAATGGCAAACATCAGGATCAAGAATTTGGAGGTGGTGTAGAAATTACTTGATTCTTGTACCAAAAAAAGTGCAGGTGACCATAAATTTTGAGGGCTATTTTTTCTTCAGCATCAAGAAAGTAAAAACGTATCAGAAGAATCTTTACAAGTTATCCCTCAGCCTACAGCTGCTCATCAATTTCTGCACAGAATTAATATATTGCTGTTATAGGAAAAATATACTGATTTTATCTGATAGTCCAGAATTGGATCCGTAAAAGTGGGATGTAGTCAAACACTTTCTTGTGTGTGTTTAACTGCATGGATTGTCTCAATTGCACCTTAACTAAAATGCTGAACATGCCAGGTATTGAAAAGCAACATGGCCAGGTTTGTTTTGCAGTGTTTAATATTGTAGTACTACTTGTTATGTACAGTGGTTTTCTCAAAGCATTTTAGGCATACAAGTGTTCAGAGAGCATATTTGAGATGTTATGCCCAGGTATGAAGTGAAGAACCTAAATTGCACAAAAGATGACTGACTCTTGCCTGTTGCTTGCAAGTTGCTGTTGATAAAAGTGGTCCACAGCCTGTCTGTGTTTTCCTTTCTCCTCTGTGAAAATGTTGGAGTGCTGACACTGATTCACAGCTTCTTAAAGTTTGGAAGCTTTCTACTCTTGCAGAGTTGGTGTCAAAACCCAGAACTGTGCTGTGGGAGTTCTCAGCTCTGTCTTGTGTCTGTTTTATTATACTGTCTTTGTTTACATGTTAAAGTAGTTAAATTGTGTGTCAAGTCTGGCCTTTGGATTTGGTGGATTAATTTTTCTTTAACAACTTCATGTGTGTGTGTCTTGATTTGATTTTAGATGATGAGGATGATGAGGAGATTGATGAGGATCAAGAAATAAAGGATAAAACTCTCCCCAAGTGGCATATTTGGTTGGATATTGAATATTCCCGTGAAGCAAGGCACTGGTTACCTTGGAGGCCAGACAAAGGCAAAAAGGAAACTGAAGAAGATTGTGAAGATCCAGAAAGACAGGTCACTGTGATATAATAAAACAAGGGCACATAAGACTAATTATCCTTTCATTTGAATTCATTGCCATGTTTTAGAAGACTAATACTTTGTTTGGGGAAAAAAAATCTCTTCTTTGTTTGAAATTCAAAGTTTACTTGAGGCTTTGTACTGAGACTTCTGAAATCCATGGAAAGCTCATGGTAAACTTTGGAAAGGCTGTAAGCAAACAGTCTGTCTTTGCTGTTCAGTGATTCCTGCTATCTGTTTGTGGAAATGTCACAGAAATCTGTGTTTAAGGAGATACAGTGATTAAATAAACAAAGGTTTTGTTGCCTTCAAGTCAGATAGTTGGGTTTTTTATTTCTTGGGAAATAGGACAAGTCAGACATTGATTTTCAGATAAAAATGTCTTATATGGCCTAAGCAATAATGTCTTTCAGACCTTCACTATGTAAGTAAGACCTCTGTGGAGGTCTTTGATACTCAAGGGCAAAGAAGTCTCTTGATAGCAAATTTACAATCTGGCTGGAAAACCAGGTTGCTTCTTTAACTTGTGTGTTTTTAATTTGAATGAAATTCTGATACCATTTAATAATAATTCTAGATCTTATTCACTTGAAAAGGTTCTTTAATTGCATAAATTACAGATTTTTCTGCTTTGCATAAATTAATGGAATTTCTTTCAATTTGTTTTTTTTTTAGGTGTTATTTGATGATCTTGGACCATCTCTAATTCGTCTTTCTAATCCAGATCTTCAAAGTCAACTATTGTACTCATTTTTGCAGTTTCTGGGAGTTCCATGTACAAGTAAACTCTTCCCTTCCAGTCTCTATATTGCCATGGATGAAAATAACATCTTTGACAGTGTGCTGTATGATGATAAACCACTGACTTCTGCTGGCTTTCCACTTTCTGGATTCAACAGTATCGGCCACATGGACACAATGCTACGAAGAAGACATCACATAGGCCACTATAAAGAAGGAGAGGAGTTCATACAGAATGTTTTCCATGTTCTATTCCAGATATTTACAGGAAAGGAAAAATCTAACCTGTCCATTTGTTGGTTGCAGTATGAGATATCTAAGGTAACTAGGAGTCTGCTTGTAATCACTCTTGTGATGTTGTGGCTTTCTTCTGCAGTAATGTTTATATTGAATTAAAATAAATATCAGTGAACATAATGTCTTGCAGGACTAAGCATTCAAATGAGGAAATGCCAGATCAGGTTGCACTGGGGGTAAAAAAACCCAGCAAACCCTTACCAAACTGTTCTACTAAGTTCATGATCCCCAATACCATAATAAAAGCACCTAATCAAGAAACTTAGTACTTCCTATACAAGTTACATTTGTAGTGTTATTGAAGGAAATAACACATTATCCCTTGAATGTAGATTTATTCAAGAAAAACTGCCCTAATAGATGCCCAGAGAAGGGCAGAGTCCAGGTTGTCTTCCTAATGCTTAAGAAACTTGTGTTTCCTTATGGAGAAGTTCCCTGTCTTAACAATACCTGACCAGATCTCCTGTAATCTTCCCATCCAATCTCCATGTTTCTCTGTCAGCACATTCCCTGCTGCCAAAAGCTACTTGAGTTTAATTGTGCTAGTCACAAGCTGCATCATTTATTTTCCTTTTCTGAGCCATTACAGGTTAGCTGTGTGCCTGAGCAGTTGGCCTTTTAAAAGAGTGACATTTGATATTACTTGGTGTCAGCAGCAGGAGTAAGAATGATAAGCCTGTGTAATTTGGCTATGTTGGAGGGAGCTGACAACAGGCAGTTGTGACAACTTGGAGTACTCAGTAGCAGCAGATCTGGCTGGTGGTGAATTGTGGAATAATATGAAATAAAAAATTGCCGTGAGGGTTTGTTGGGGTTTTTTTTTCCTCCTTTCTTCTCCCATACCTCTCAAAATTTGTTCTGTTTATTTTCCCCTGCAGGTAATTCAGTGTCTCCAAGCAAAGAAGAAAAAGAAGCTAAAAGCACAAGGGAGAAAGAGTAAAAAGTTGGCCAAGAATTTCCTTAAAGCACCTGACAAGCGAAACAACCTTTGTCTCTGGAAACTGTATGCCTACCTAGAATGGCTTCTTGGTAACACTGATGATGCCAGGAAGGTGTTTGACACAGCTCTTTGCACGGCAGAGACAGGAGGACTGAAGAGTGCCCAGCTCTGCAGCCTCACCCTGCTTTATGCTCAGCTGGAAGTGGAACTACTAGAAAGTCTAGAAGGAGCTGTTATGTCACGTGCTGTTCATATCCTGACCAAGTTGGCTGAGAGTGGACCATATGTGCCTTATAGTGGCCAAGTGTTACCTGTGAGTGTCTTGAAGGCTCGTAAAACATATGAGCATGCACTGCAAGATTATTTAAGTAAACCAGCAGTTTCTGCTCAGGATCAGGTCAGTGCTGCTGAGCACCTGGTTAACTTGGTCGGTTGTTATGCACTGTTCCAGTATTTGACTGTTGGGATTGATGCTGCAGTATTAATATATACACAGACTTCAGAAAAACTTGAAGCTTCTGGTCCACAGAAATGTGAAAATACTGGAGAGAATTTTGGCATTCAAAATTTTCCCACTGCTCTTGAAGCTGTCACACTGCTGCATACAAATTTACTGAGATTCCACATGAAAATTAGTGTTTATCCTTTGAATCCTCTGCGAGAGGCACTGACGGTGGCTCTGAAACGGTATCCTAGCAACCAGTCCCTTTGGAGGTCATACATCCACATCCAGAGGAAGTCTCACAGTGCTAACAAAGCACGAAGATTTTTTGATGGTGTCACCAGGTCTACTAACTCTTTAGAGCCATGGCTGTTTGCAATCCAAGCAGAGCAGATGAGAAAAAAACTCACTGAGAAAGTCCAGAGGTAATATCTTTCAGCTCCTTACAATTACGGTTTTTTTAAATCTTTCTGATCACTTAACAGAGGAGAGAAAATACTATCATAGCTCTCGTTTTGCAGATGAAGAAGCTGTGGTTAGAGAAGGTTGGTTGTTCAAGGCTGGACATGCAGTCAGTTGCAGAATGTTGAATAGAATTAAAGACCTAGGTGATTGCTTCATGTCCTTTCTACTGGACCAGATTGTCTGTTGCTTTGTGTTTGATTACTTGCTACCATCATCAGGGTGGTTTGCATTTCCTCAAGGAATTTTTAAATAGCTATGCCTCCTTACGTGGCCAGGGTAGACCCTGTGAGCTTGGAAACTGCTGCATTTTAATACTCCAGCAATCAGGAGTGTAACACAGAGCTACACTGCAGTTTCTGACTGAGCTGGCTGCCCTACTTTACTCCTGGATCACAGAATACAGTTGTGGCAGATCTGTTTCCATAGTGAGGACTTGAGAGTTTAGTTTTCATACAGGGCTGTTGCTAGGTAGAAGAGGCTGGAAATTTCTTGAATTTGTAGTGTGGTCTGAGCTCAGATTTTTTCTCCTGAGAAAGGAGGAAATGGGGGGAGATGGGGGGAACAAGATATGTGTTCATTCTTAGAGCTTAGTCTCCTAACTGTTGTCTACTGTTGCTTGGAGCTACCTATGCACTGCTGCTACCTACATATCTTTGATAACATGGGCAGCTTGCTTGTTTGTGTCTGCACATAGCAACAGAGATTTCTAGGAAAGTGCTATCTGAAAGTTTTACATAGCTGAAAGCCTACAGTGTTCACACTTGATGAAATTACATAATTATCAGTATACTTTGAAATGCTGGCACCCCCTCTGCTTTATTGCCACAGTCTGGCAACAGGCATTCATACATGATAGTGACATTCCTGAGCTGTCAGTCTGTGTCATCCAGAATTGTGAGAAGAATTCTGCAGCCAGCAAATGTAAAGGAGGATTGTAATTCAATTTACTGTTAATTACAGACTGACACTATGATAGGTTTTCAGTATTGTTACTGGGAACTGATGTTAAAATTCTAGAATGATGATTCTCTCTAATGCTGAGTTCCTTTCCAGATTGTTCACTGCTAGCATAGCCTTTCCTATAGGTTATATTTGTAAGTGACAAGTTGCATGTTGCAATAGCAGAGCTGAACTACTGCAACAGGGAGATAAATGGCCTGTCAGTCATGCATAAAACTAATGTCTTATGATGATGTGACAAACTAAGAAAATGTCTGTACTATGTGTGACTATTTCCTGTTATGATTTGTATTTCTGCTTGTTTAAGTGCATGGAATTCAGCTAAAGAAATTAACATGATGGGTAAAACCAAGTGTGTGTAAGTCAGTGTTTGGTTCAATGCTTCAAATGTCTGACTCCATGCAGAGCAGATTACATAATTTTTCCCTTGTGTCTAAGGTGAGAGGAAAAATGACCTCAGAGACCCTCGAAAAAAGAGGCAGATTGGGAGCTAAGTGTTGATGATGTGGGACAAGCTGGCAGGCTAAGAGAGGACACACAGACAGAAGTGATGTTGCCATGAGTGCTCCAAGCTGTTTCCTCAAGCTCAGGCATCAAAAGTGAGCCAGTCTGTGTCAGCTGTAGGTGGAAATCAGTGCTGTGGTGAAAAACACATACCTGCTTTGTGTTGCACCTGGAACTTAGGGGATTTGAATCTCTGGGTGAAAATTACTGTTGTAATCATGGTTGAGATCCAGAGCTGTAATTTAGGCCTTGATCCAAGGCCAGTGCAAAGGTGACAGGGTAAATTTGGACAGACTAGCCTGGGCACCAGAAGACCTGCTGGCCCAGACTTGAATTTGGTTTGTTCTGCTCTGCCAAGCTTAGAATGATAAATGATCCTGAACGAAGACCTAGATGTTTAAGTTCACATGATAGTGGATTATGGCATTCAAAGAGAAACGATTTTTTAACATGCTAAAAGAATTTTCACAAAAATACTGAATTAATCTTTTTTTAAAACGCATTTTCCTATTTAGAAATGTGTTGATTACATTAGCAAGTGCTAAAAATCTGGTTTCTAACACTGAGAGTTTGTAGCATGAAATGCAAAAACTTGGCTGTATACAGTGCTGTGTGATCAGAGACAGTATGTTGTTCTTTACCCTCTCTTACCTGGATGTGGTCTCTTAGCTCGTGTTTAAAGGAATGTTTCTTCTTTCCTCTGTGTTTCAGGGCAGATGTTGGTGAAATACATTGCACTATTCCTGAAACTGGATTAACAAATCGGATTGTAGCTCTATTTGAACACGCAGTTCAGAGTGAAAATGGTACCCATTGTCCACTGCTGTGGAGGATGTATTTGAACTTCATGGTAAGAAGAAGAGTATCGGTGTTGTTTTGTTTTATTGTATTTGGAGCTCTCATGAGCACAGCTGCAGTACTGTATAGATAAATGAATACTAAATGATGCCACACCTCTGTGATTGGTAAGGTGATGTGTTTGAATTGTACTGCTCCTTATTACTAGGAGTATTAAGGAAAATGTAATTCATGTGGATTGGAAGGAGGAATAGCTCCTGATACATAAATGCAGGGAAGTTACTGTGATTGCCATCTTGCATAGGTTAAAAAAAAGTATTAGCACCTCTGCTGTACCAAAGATGCCTTTGTGTGGTATATGTGTAGCATGTCAGGGGAAATTTTGGTTAATACTCTTGCAGTATTATTGTCAAATTCAGGCAAAGGCACTTAAACTGATACACTCAGCAGAGGCTCTTTCTGTGAGTCCTTACTCTACTACCTGTCTTACAAGTAAAGCCCCAGAACTCCTGAAAGACATCTGAAGGGTGTGACCAGTGTAACCTGACAAATTGCATAGCTACCACAACATGCAGCAATAAGGATTCCTCAGCAGAACACTGAGCTTTTCAGCAATAATTTCTTTGTTTCACAGGTAATTGTTTCATTATTTCAGCTATTACTGCACTGAAGTATGAACATTTTTTTCTCACACAGGCTTCGCTGGGAAAAAAAGAAAAAAGTAAAGGATTGTTTTATAAAGCCCTTCAAAATTGTCCTTGGGCAAAGGTAAGCACAGAAAATGTGTAAATCTGTCATCGTACTCTAATTTTTGAAGTTCTGTGTTTGAAAAAGTTAGACTTTAGCAGTCGTTGTAATGAGTTCTATGCAAATAAAAGGAGAGATTTCTGAGAAGGTACTGCTAAGATTTTCTGCAAGTAGATGCATCTGAAATGGAAACATAGTAGTCAGTGCTGTTTGTGTTCCAGGATAGAAAGGTGGTGCATGGCAGTAATAAATCCTGTGTGATCTAGAAGTGACTTGAGTGAGTCAGGCCATGTTTTGTCATGAGCATGAGAGTACCAGAAATACATAGGCAAATAAAAATGCATTTAGTTAATAGTATGGGAAATGACTGAGAGCATCTGCAACACCTCAGGTAGTGTTTGTACATGCTGCAAATGCTCCAGTGCCTCTTGACCTATGTCTTATCTTTTTGAATAAAGTTATTTAGTAAGAGTTAGAAAAGACTTGAATAAACATGTACTTGGCTGTCACTATAGAGGTACTAATTTCATTTGTATTATTTTCAAGTAGTATATGGTATTTCTTATGTTCTTGCTACAGAGTTGTTGCCTCTCTGTGTACTTTTTGTGGTATGTTTCTTGCTGTAATGAAAGGGTGGCACAGAAAGTGTTCTTACTGTCTTTCCAGATGCTCTATATGGATGCTGTAGAGTACTTCCCTGATGATCTGCAAGAGACCCTTGATCTAATGACTGAGAAAGAATTGCGGGTGCGGGTACCTCTGGAAGAGCTGGATCTGCTGCTGGAGATCTGAAAGAGGAGAAAAGGACAGATGCTAGTTCCAAACTAACAGTTAGACCCCTTTCTTTTCATACAGGAACTCTGTTGGGACTTGGGTACTATGTACTTTTTTGGTTTTTTAATTATTTTTAAGCTGTTGTATAAATTCCTATCAAAATGGAGTTCTAGCTGCAAGTATTTTGGAATCAAGGACTGTGTTTTGTCCCCAAAAGCACATCCATTTCTCTGAAGTATCTCTGGCTCCCGCAGAAGGATGCCCTCGTTAAATAGCTTCTTGGTGAATGCTGCCCACATTTCTTATTCTATTGTTTGAAATTACATTCCCTAGAGTTCAGCAGAGGTTCAGTACATGCCAACTATGGTTTGGTGAGCAGCACAGGAAATAAACATCTGCCAAATGGATGCTCCACTGTCCTCCAGCTGGCAGACTTCAGTAATGTCCTTCAGCTCGGTATGTGTGTGTGTATATATAACTACCAAGTCAAACAGCTATCACATCTGTACATACACTGGGAGTAAAAGCCAAATCTTTGCTTGAGCAGACACCTATTTTGGACTTGTATTCATATGCTTTGTCAGATGACCATTTTAATACAAATATTTATGAAAAATATACCTGAATACTTGAAAATTCAAAAGGAACCTGAATGTTTTTTTATTAATAATATAACTGTGAGGGTGTTAAAAATGAAAATATGTCAATAGTGCATCTCTAAGCAGCTCACTTCTAAACAAGTTTTTGTAATTGATTATTTGCTTTTGCCCCAAATACAGGCAACTGGCATAAGCAGGGGTCTGGTCTGTATTTAATCCTCATCAGAGAAGGCAGAGTAGGCAAATCATGATTGTTTAGGTGTAGCTTCTATTTAAGACTCTTTAAACAAGCTCCTAGAAAAGTAGTACATAATATGGTAACAATTTATTAAGATACAGTTATGTATTTATTTTATGAGACAGAATATGCTGAAATATGGCAAAGATTCTTTAGCATCTCTGTTCTTGAGATCCAAGAACTCAGCAACTGGATCTTCCTCCGAACAGAGGGTACCTGCAGCCACTGAATAGCCAGAACTGCTTCAGAGCTGTTCAAGGAGAATTGTCACCAACAGCACTAGAACAATCAGGATCATCCACCTGGTGAGATCTGGTTGCTGTGAAACTGTCTGGACAAAGCCATACAACCTATCGCTTGGGTTTGTCTGTAGCATTGTGATACAAGATAAATACATTTTAGTTCAGGCTGCACTTCATTTATGCCTTTCTAGAAGTACTGCAGATGCTATAGGGAACATGCATAATTTTAAATGGCAGTACAGCACTTCTGAAGAGCCTTACAGTATTGCTGCAGTTGCAAGTGATGCTGCATTTGCTGTAATTGATTAACCTTTGTCAAAAATATGTATTTTATTTTTTTAATCTGTGCTTCTTTAAAAAATGACAAGAGCTCCTGAACCAGAGGCAGAAGTTACTCTGTGCCCACAAATTGTGCATGTGTTTGGTTTTGCTTTCCCACCAAAGCAGAATGTCATTTCCTCTAAAGCCCTGAAAGGGCCATGGAGAGGGGGAAGCTTTATTGTGTTCCTGCTTAGGGTTACAGAGCAGGTTATGAGTGACCTTGAAAGATCATCTGGTCCAACCTGTTGTGGGACAGGAAGCCTAGGTGAGATTACCTGGCACTGTCCAGTCACATTTGAAAGTCTCCAGTGATGGCAGTAAAGACTCCTGTTTTGGTCATTTTTCCATGCATCCCCTCCCAACACAGCACTTGAGTTACTTCCTTCTTCGGGTGGTCAGAGGCTGCTCACTTCCTGCAGCTCCTGGAATTAGTCCTGCCTTTTAATTCAGACTCCAGTAGGTTTTTCTGTCCCTGTGAGCAATAGACTTGCTGTTCACTTTCTCTGGGTCTTTATTACTTTTGTGTTGATCTTTGTGAATCAAGTTCAGAAATGTTGGGGAAAGTGGCAGAAGTTAAATTCTGCTGCAAAAGGTAAGTGAATTTTCAAATATATTTGGTTCTCAGTTACTGTGGTGGCAGACAAGGTAGAAGAACAGAGTCCTTGGGTTTGCTTAATGCTTTCCTTCAGGGAGCTCTTTGTGGCTGTTGCTTTTAGCCAGCATTAACAGCCATGTCCCAAATAAAAAATGCCTTGATTGCCACACATGTCATAAAGCTCTTCAGCCCCTCAAGTGATAATGAGATCAACTGCCATGATTAGAAAGTCCTAAAAAGTCCCTGGCTTTTTGTGACCTTTCCAAGGAGACAGATCTTCTAAGGTTTACAAGAATGGGTACTAAAATTTGCTGGTTTTCTATCTCCAGATGAAAAACAATTCTATTTCAGGGTTTCTGTCATCCAGATTAAATAAAAGACTCCATTCAGCTGTAGGGTTTGTTTTTAACAATGAGCCACATAATTTTTACATGGAAAACCAAAATCTCTTGGCCTTGCCACGACCATTGTTGTTACATCACTGGCACTCATCAAAGGCTTCACTGTGTGTGCAGCTCTCCACTGTGTGGCACTGGCCAGCGTTTGCTCCCACAGAAAGCTTTCAGAACAAAGACTGCACATTGCTTAACTGTGGTCTCTATAACTTACATAAACCTTAAAAATCACATGGAGATTAGTTACTTAGAACTTAACAAGCCCTTCACAGAAGTGTACTACACAGAATACTTTTTAAAGTAATTTGTTAAGAGGGGAAGAACTTAGGTTAAGGTTACACTGCAGAATACCAAATGTGTGATGTGTAGTTTGAATTTCTCTGTGCACATCTGCTGCATGACAGACCTGCACCTCCAGCACATGGGCAAGTCTGTGCCTATGCCTTACCAGACACAGCTCCTGCCTTGGGCAGCTGGAAGGGGCTGTAGAACCTCCTACTGTGTTGGTTCCTTTCAGAGACATAGTGATGTAATGAACTGTAACTCTTGGGAGAAACAAGCTGAGAGTTTATAAATAATAGTGCCATTTAGTTTAATGCCTAATGCCACTTAGTTTAGCATTTATAAATACTCTAACCTCACAGGTATGTTACCCAAATATGTTTAGATCTTTAAGATTACTTAGTGAGTGTCCATCTTGCTCTCTTACACGCACAAGCAATAGACATGGGTACCTTTACAGTGTGTCTGAAAGTTACTCAAGGTTGCATATTTGTCATTAATTTTCATGTATATATGACCTATGACACTAAGGTTACTCAAAAGTGACTTTTGTCCTAGTTAGCCCCTAAAAAAGATACAAGAAAGTAATTAAGAACAGCAGCAAGGCTACAGTGGTGGTAAGAGACTGCCATGCCCAAGGAGGGCTGAGAGGGGTGGCACCTACTCCTGCACTGCTCCCTGCCCCGTGTGCTGTGGGACACTCAGACAAGCACTCCCAGGGCATCAGCACCTTTTCCTGCAAGCAGGTCTGACAGGCAACAGCCAGTTCCCTAGGAAGAGCAGAGCTTGGCCACCACAACACTTGGATTCAAATACATGTTTTATTGGGAAATGAAGAGTTACACTGACTGAAAAACCACAACCCACCAGATTTTACCCCATTCATGGATGAAAACTACCCAAGACCACGTGGTTTTACACAGAGAGTTCTGGAGAGTCCCCAAAGAGACAGATGACTTAGAGATACAGTCCCTCAGGGGTTCCCTCCTGCTTCTTATAGAGAACATTCTCTTTAGACTTCTTGAAATCTTCATTTGTTACTTTCATCCGCCGTTCCCTCAAAGCCATCAGTCCAGCTTCTGTGCAAATTGCCTGCAACACCAAAAACAACAGTTATGGACTCTGGACAACCTCAGCCCACAGCTCTGGAGGTGGCTGCATCTTCATACTGCTCCCATGACTCTGTACTAGAGGAGTGTTAACAAAATCTACATTCTTAAGTTTGATACTGCTCAGTAGCACTTGGAACATGTAAAACAGTCTGGCTAAGGCCAGATGAGTGTGTCCAAAAGGACAGTGGTCAGAGTAACACAGCCTGGACAGAAAGGCAGATTTGTAACAGTATTTCCCTCCTGTGAGGACAAATGGACCCAGCTCTGTTCCCAGTGGACTGTGTAATTCTTCCACAAGGAGGTGACAGTCATGTCTTGCTGGTTTAAGCTCATGAGTGTAGTAACTCTGGCAAGGGCTTCATCTGCTTTAAAAAGAGCAGACTGGGTATTGTGTGTGGCTGAAGCTTCCTAATCTATAGTTGCACTTTTATTTCCTTGCAACATGGTGCAGGATAAGAGTCCCTAAAGATGCTTATCTTAAGTAATGTGTAAGACACCCTGCATTCCCATTCCATTTTGCTACTTTTAACATTTCGCATTCAGGTAACACAGGTACGTTCTCTTACCAACACAAACTACTTCATAATTACAGTTCCCATTGGTACAGCTGAGGACATGGCACTCATAAAAAGTATTTTACAGCCTTGGTGATGTAAGCACAGGTAACTAGCTTCAACAGATAATAGTTCTGGATGCAGTAAAACTGAGATTTGATTTTTGGTTTGTAGTATAAACAATAGTGACATGCACTGACCTTAATATCTGCACCACTCAGATCATCTTTTGCCATAATCAGCTCATCCAAAGTCACATCATCTGCCAATGTCATCCTGCTCGTGTGAATCTGAAAGATTCGTTTCTTGGTCTTTTCATCCGGCAGAGGGAATTCTATTTTCCTGTCAATACGTCCTGTGCAAAACAAAAGTTCAGTCTTAGGTTTTTTGCATGCAGCTGTTGAAAACAGAGCAGGAAGGACACATGAGGGTTTGGCTGACACTATTCTGCTGGAGCACATCCAGAGCAGGGCAACAGAGCTGGTGAAGGGTCTGGAGCACAAGTCTTGGGCAGAGCAGCTGAGGGAGCTGGGGGTGTTCAGCCTAGAGAAGAGGAGGCTCAGGGGAGACCTTATCACTCTCTACAGTTACCTGACAGGAGGCTGTAGTTAGGTTAGAGTTGGTCTCTTCTCCCAGGCAACTAGCAATAGGTCAAGAGAAAAGGTCTCAAGGTGCACCAGGGGAGGTTAAGACTGGATATTAAGAAAAAATTTTTTCACTGAAAATTGTCAAGCATTGGAACAGGCTGCCCAGAAAAGGGGTGGAATCACCATCCCTGAAAGTGCTCAAAAGAGGTGTAGATGTGGTACCTGGGGACAAGGTGGACTTAGCCACGTTAGATTAACTGTTGGGTTCAATGATCTTAAAGGTTAAAGGTTCTTTCCAACCTAACCAATTCTCTAATTCTTCATGCCACAATGAATCATTTCTTAAAGGAGGAAGTGAAATGAGACTATTTGCAATGAACAGCAAGCCACTGGAGCTGAACTATACCAAGCTGCTGAGAAAGTCTGTGCTTGCAGGCAAGAGACCCCTCACCTGGGAAACAGGAAACCCTCCTTAAGCTACATATAAACATAAAAAATCACAGTGTGTCATAGCTCAGAAAAGTGTCCATGAAATGCTTATGTTCTGAGATTACATTAAACTCTGAACTTTAATTTTCTGCTGTACACACACACAATAAATCACAATGCCAACCTGAAGAACTCGTCTTCCCTACAAACCAACCTAAAAATCAAACCAGAAACAAACAAAGCCAAACACCCCTAACTGAAGAAGAAAGGTCTTGAAAAATAGCTCTGTTGCAGGTCATGCTGTTTCCTCTGAGTCAGTAGGGAATTCGGGTGTTCTGGTACTCTTTGTTTCAAGTGAGCAATCTTTTTAAAGGTATTTTCCATCCCCAGATCACTCCTGTTTTTCTTTACAGTATCTTTCCTAGAAAGGATAATGGCACCACGTGAGACAATCCAGACTATGCTACACAATGGTTAATCAGACTGCCAAGCTGCTAGAAGTGCCCTGGTTGCTCAAGCAGTGGTGGTAATTTAAATACCTGATAGACAGGTGTAGGAAGTTTCCTTCCAACAACTTCCAGATCCTCTTAGCTGTCTTTCAATACTGGCATAGTATCATTGCCTCTGTACTCTAACAGCATTGGGTTTGACTTGAAGGGTGTAAAGCTAAGCTGGTGACAAAACCAGAGTTTCGGAAAAACACAAACACACCTCAACAACTTCATACTGTGGGGGTTTTTTTCCTAAACTCCTCAGACCTATGCAGTCTAGGGACTGTTCAGAGTAGCTGTTTGACAATTTCCTCTTAAGTTATCTTTGCTCTTTATCTTATTTCTCTTACTTTAGGAGTATCTTTACAACCTCTTCAATACACAGGATTTACTTGAGGAAACTAACAGAAGGCTTAGCTTATTCTTTTGATCTGTGTTGCTTTCTACCTTCCAATTTCACAGACACCACAGACCTGTTCTGTTTTGGTACATTTTCAGTGGGCACTTAAAAATCCTACTTGTGCCTGTCCAAGCTCTTGGCTCAGCATGGAATAGAGACATGTCCCTTGCTCAGGTCCCAAACAGCAGCAGTGTGTGCCAGCTCAATAAGGAAGCAGCCTGGTTTCCCTGCACCAGAATCCAGGCTGTCTCTGTTGAGGTTTAAGCTCTCACCCCAAAGCACAGGTGGTGCTGCCCTGCCTTCCCCAGCTAAAGTGCTGCTGCTGGACACAGCTTGTCTTGACAATTACTTAAAATGCCTGTGCCATCTTAATAGAAATGAAGAATACTCAAATAGTTTAGGCATATGTAAGAGGAATTAACACATTTCTTCTCTTCCAAAGGGTTTTCTCCCATGTGGAAGCTTGTGAATGGGTTTTGATTTTAACAGATGCACCAGCACAGAGATGGTGAATAAGGACAAACCAGAAACTTGCATTCTTTCTACCAGCCCATCAAATTATGACAAGTCCTTTCACAAGAAAAGTGCCACTTACCTGGCCTAATTAGTGCTGGGTCCAGCGTTTCTATTCTGTTTGTAGCCATGATAACCTTAACATCCCCCCGAGAGTCAAACCCATCCAGCTGGTTCAGAGCATCGTGCTCTGGATCTCTCTCTCACCACCCGAGTTGGAGTCATACCTTTAAGAGAAAAAAAAACATAGTCAGAAAAAGCACTATGTAGCTGCCAAAAACACATAAACAAAAATGTCTCTGGATTATTTGTGGTGGGTTATATTTTTTTAAACATCCATAAGAGACATTTTTTTCTTAAAACTGAATGTTCACCCATAGAAAAAAAAAGGTTTTCAGAATCATACTGTGACATCTAGGTAAGTAAACAGACACCTGACTATTCTTGTAGCTGGGAAATGGAACAGGCATCATGCAAAGGAAATCTGTTCTTTTTCCATGTTTGTTACATATTTGGAAGTACCTTTTTCCCCCTAAGAAAATCAACATAAAAAAGGAAAAAAACTGGTTCTTAAAAGCACATGTATCCACTTCACACAAAATACAGCTGTTCACTCATTTTTCTGTTTTCCCTTATGCACACAGCTGTAACTGTAGGCCTTTAGCCCTTAACTCTGCTCTCCCAAACACACAGGCACCAGGGGCTGTATTTTCCCACTTCGCAATTTATAGCTATTTCATTACGCTAATCCCAGACTAGACAACTTCCATCCAAAATGGCTCATCCATGAGCCATTTCCATCCAGGAACAGCCGGAAGCACCATATGAAGAATTCCATGTGGAACCACAGGTTCACTCCTTTCTACATATGGTGCAACCCACAGGGCAGCAGCTGCCTATCCTGGCACTTGGGCTTTGTAGCTGTGTAGTAATATGTATGAGCACCTTTGTGTTTATTTAAAAACCACTGAGTGCTTTAACAACTATTTGCATTGGACAGTTCCAACAGCCTACAGAATTTTCAAAGTAGTACAGCTTGGATATGAGCTCAACAACAGTTCAGTGTGGCACAAACAAGGCTTCTCCATGACACACACCCTAACTTAATACATAATATTCTCAGAGCATAAGTACTTAGCCTACCTGGAGAGGCAAACAATAAACAGATACATTCTGTATTAGGTATTCTGCTCTACTCTTGGATGACTAAGTCCAATTGCTGTATCTTGGATATGCAGTCAGGATCCCACATGCACCTGTGCACAGTGTCTCTTTCACAGAATCATCAGGGTGGGAGGAGACCTTAATACATAATATTCTCAGAGCATAAGTACTTAGCCTACCTGGAGAGGCAAACAATAAACAGATACATTCTGTATTAGGTATTCTGCTCTACTCTTGGATGACTAAGTCCAATTGCTGTATCTTGGATATGCAGTCAGGATCCCACATGCACCTGTGCACAGTGTCTCTTTCACAGAATCATCAGGGTGGGAGGAGACCTCTAAGATCGAATCGAATCTCTGAATCTTTCTGGTTTTGACACTCAGAGATGCTACCAAGTAGCAAAGGAACAGAGGTTAGGTCTCCATCCTGTCTATTTAATATGAAAAGGTTGCAATATATTTTGGTTCCCGAGAAGTTATTAAAAGTGTTACTTGTTAAAAATTCTTACATCAACGAAAGGATTATGAAAATCGCAGCAGAGCTAAGAAACTGAGTATTGCTGCAGGATGCTAAAGAAGTGTTCCCAGTAGGTCTTTCCCTGTCCCTGGCAATAGCTATGTGTGAGGTGGGAGCTCAGACACTGTACCTCTTTGTGCCAATGGCATCGATTTCATCGATGAAGACAATGGAGGGCGCGTGCTCCTCGGCCACGCGGAACAGCTCGCGCACAAGCTTTGGGCCATCACCCAAGTACTTCTGGATGAGCTCTGAACCCACCACTCTCAGGAAGGTTGCTGAAGTTTGGTTTGCTACTGCTTTGGCGAGTAAAGTTTTACCTGTTTTTAGATGGAAAGACATATTGTAAGTAGTTTGCAGAGGGAAAACGGAAAGGGAAAGAAAGTGCTTTAACAAAACAGTCATATGAAATTTGTGACCGACTTGCAAGAATAATTTATGTTACTTGTGGTATATCAGCACAGGAGTCATTGTACTGTGAAATACCTGTGCCAGGTGGGCCATACAGAATGACTCCTTTGGGTGGCTTTATACCCATCTCTTCATAATATTCAGGGTGGGTGAGAGGAAGCTCCACAGACTCCTGCAGCACAAGAAAAGCAAACGTGTTTTTACAAAGACCTGTGGTGATCTCCAGAAAAGCATTAATAAAAGTAACGAAGGCAGAAAGAACTTAACTGATCTGAAGACAGACCTTGAAAAGCAAGGCTGGCAACTACTCTATCTTCACAGGTCTTTCTATTGTTTCCACTTGACATGTGGAAGAGCAGCAGTGAGTGTTCCCCCTCCTCCAACCTCAGTGCATCATGCTGAATTTAGAACCCCAGAGTTCCTGACCCCCAAACACTCACAGAGGATCTTGGGGCAGGGAGACCCTTTATGGAAGGGTGCCTTCTATATGGAGGAATCAGATACTACAGATCAGTATTTTAAGAGCATTTGTGATTTTGGACACCTCCCCAAAGCAAAAGGGTTGAGTTCTACTAGGGTTCAGGTAGAGCTCTGCTGGTAGGTGGACACCTACCCAAAGCAAAAGGGTTGAGTTTTACCAGGGTTCAGGTAGAGCTCTGCTGGTAGGGAATAAACCAACCAACCAACCAACTAACAAATGCAAACACAAAACAAACTAGCCTCACCTCCACCCCCCTAAAAGACCTAAATCCTTAGACTGCAGGGCACAAGACACCTGAAACAACCTCTGCACTTTTTATAATTTAACTCTACCCAAAGCAAAAGGGTTGAGTTTTACCAGGGTTCAGGTAGAGCTCTGCTGGTAGGGAATAAACCAACCAACCAACCAACTAACAAATGCAAACACAAAACAAACTAGCCTCACCTCCACCCCCCTAAAAGACCTAAATCCTTAGACTGCAGGGCACAAGACACCTGAAACAACCTCTGCACTTTTTATAATTTAACTCTCATCTTGGAACAGTTGATCACTTTGCATGTTGCAAAATAGTAAGTTTTTGCAAAGATTTCATGAGCTCTGGGCTCTATAGGCTCCAGAGCAACTGTGAAAGGTCCCTGTGACTCTGAACACGCATGTAAGAGATTTATGTCCATAGAGACATGTCCATTTATGTCTGCATAGAGAAATAAAATGAAAAAATGTATTGTAGCAAGATAACAACACATGACTACATAAACAGCAGCTGGTCCTGCTGTTTGCCTTTTCAGCTCCTGCACAACAGCCACATTGCTGCCTCACTTAGCTAGGTAATGAGCACAACTGAATACCTTGATTTCTTGAATCTGGTTGTCAAGGCCACCAATGTCAGCATATGTTTCCTGAGGAGCTTTCTCCACTTTCATCACAGTCACTAAAGGGTCTGTGTCATCCATCAGGACTCCTATCACAGCATGAACCTAATGCAAGCATTAGGAGTGGTCAAAGAAGGAAAACAGCATTATTAATGCATCGATAATACCTAAACCCAATGCCCAGCTATTTAGGTGTGTGAAAAAAATGGGCAGTGAAAAACCGCACAGGAACTTGTGCTTCTTTTTATAAAAACAACTCACCTTATGATTTAGCAGAACAGAGCAGCCTGGCTCTAGCAGATCCTTGTCCACAAAAGACAGGATACTGACGTAGTGTTCTGATCCTACTGACGTGGACACTATGGCATGGTTGTCATCAATGATCTCCTCCAAGGTACCCACCGACATCGGTGTTCCCCTCAGATCATCCACCTTTGATCTTTCTTCCTGTTGTCAAGAAAAATCCAAGAAACAACTCAACAACACAGGCAAAAACATTCGTGTGCAATGCTGGCTCAACAATTCAGACAGAACACAGCAGAACCAGCCATCCCTACTGTTGTTTCATTGCCCCAAGAGGCATAAAAGCAGAGGCCAGTAACAAAATCCACTTCTATTTTAATCCTATCCTATGGACACTACTTTTTGGATGTGAATAACTAGAATGTTCTTTCTCCAGTGATGGGTATCTGGGAGCTCCACTTTGACAGAGCATTAAGAAACAGAAAACCACGGTGGCCTCATCTGTAGTAATCCAGGTTTGGTCTAAAACCATTTAACCAAGTAATGAAGGACTGTGATAATACACACAATATGTTTGTATCAACTTATGCATTTGTGGCACTTCATTTCCATAGCCTTTATGTGAAGCAGTTTACATTACTCAGAGCACTCACTGTAACATTAGAAGTAACAGTTCACTCAAACCTTACCTCTTGTTTTTCTTCCAAAGGTTTCATCTGTTCTTGATTTCTGATGAATTCTTCCTCCATTAAGAGGTAATCCTTAATTCTCTCCAACTTCAACAACTTGAGTCTGCACTGTGTGTGAGGAGTCACTGTAATCAAAGCAGAATCACAGTATTTTAGACCAAGTTGGTACCAACTAGTCAATAACTCATTACCAGAAATCCTGCTTTTTTTCCCTGACAACACAAGGATTTCTATATGAGCAGCAGTCACTGTTTCACTTGTCCCACTGTAATTCTAGGCAAAAAACATATTCAAAGGTAATGTTTCCCTTGCATTTCTCATTTCAATTCTCTCTCTCCCCTACCTGGGAATTCCTGGGCTACATCTTGGATAACAAAGATCTTATTTTGTGGATTGGTTGGGTTTTTTTGCATTAATTAGAAATAAAATTACATTTGGCCTTATATTTGCAACCTACACAGAGCCAGATCTGGGGGAGAGGACAGCTCTGCTCCTCCCAGAGATCAGACAGTCCACAGCACTGCTGGGCAGGCAGAATCCTTACCCAGGGGGAGTTTGCTGGCAGCATCTGGTCCCTTGGTTTTCTTCTTCTTTTTCCCCACTCTGGTTGGAACTGGAGGTTCGTATTTCTTCTTCTTATCCTTATTCATAAAAAAGAATTCCATGAAAAAAATAAATGAGGTTAATAACAACAAAAAAACCACAAAGAGTTGTTAAGTGCAGACTGAGAAAGAGCTTGAGGTGAAAATCTTTAAAACAAAACTGTCTCCTCATTATCTAGAGTGAGAATTCCAAAAGAAAGGTGACTCTTCTTTTTTAAGGAAGTTCAAAAATTTCTTCTACTGCTTATTTTACATTCCTCTTTGGAATATATATATATAATCTGAACCTTTCTGCTGCACTTTAATCAACAGATAACACACATTCAGTCTGGCAGCTCAGACACTGCTTGCCATGTGAGTTGTCCTTCCATCTCCAAAGGAAACCCCAAAGGCCTCTAATGGTCCTCAACATGAAGTACAGACCTCATGCAGCTGGCTGTGTGATGCCACTTTCAAGCCAAAAACAATTCTTGAAGTGATAGCTTGAAGGCAACTAGTCTTTCCCAATCCAGACAGATTTATAGTTTTCTTCTTTTTAAAGATAAATTGTTGTCAAATAATTTTAGTTTTTCTCAAGTTCTCTTTCCTGTATATGAATAGTACCTGTTTTCTCCTGTGTGCATCCAGAAGAGACAGGACATTCATCAGAGATAGCAAGAGTGTCATTTTATGCAGATCCAAATACAAGAATTTTAAAAAGTGGGGAAAAAAGTCCTACTGCAGGCAGCCTCTGCAGCAACCCTGTGTTTCATCCTGCATTTATTTTGTTCTCAGTTACCTTGTCATCCTTCTTGCCACCACCAGGGCCATGTCCACCGCTCTGACTTTGACCCTAAATAAAAGAAAACCAAAACATCACCCAAATATCTGTACACTTCTAAGAATCTTGAAATCTGTGGGCTGTCCCATGTAAAGAAAAGCCATAATAAGATCTCTCCTGTCTGAATTAAGTACTACTGCATCCCAATAAACTGCCCAGTCAGTGAATAGAAAAGTATGGATTTAGGATGAAGAGCAAGACATAGAATCATTGAATTTTAGGGGTTGGAATGGACCTTAGAGATCATCTAGTCCCAACCCCTGCCCTGGGCAGGGACACCTCCCACCAGACCAGGTTGCTCAAGGCTTTATCCAACCTGGCTTTGAACACTGCCAGGGTTGGGGCAGCCACAGCCTCCCTGGGCAACCTGTGCCAATGTCTCACTACTCTCACAGTGAAAAACCTTTTCCTGATATCTAACCTAAACTTCCCCACCTTCAATGTGAATCCATTACTCCCTGTCCTGTCGCTGCAGCTCCTAACTGAGTCCCTCTCTCACACAGCACTGCAATATCCGCCAGTGTAAACAAACGACGAACCCGAGCAAGGTGTGACACAAATTCTCCGCTCTCCTGTCAGCCCATGTCTCCGCACTCCTCCCGCAGCCCGCAGAGCCCCCGCGGCCCAGCACAGCCAGGGACACACGCCGCCCTGCCCTGCCCTCCCCTCCCCTCGGAGCCCTGCC